CAATCTCGTTCACAGATTTTGAGCTTGGCACTAGATGTTGACGTGGACACTTTCGCCTACCACTGTTTTTCTCCGTTTAGTTTAGTTACTTTTTCTCGTGTTTAATCACGGAATTGGACTTTGGTCTAAAATATAACGTAGTACACCCAAATTTGATTTCACAAATAACATAACATGATTGCTTATGATTTGTTTGATTCTGCTATCGTTCTTTCGATGTTCGTTTGTGAGCGAAAATTATGATGATAATGACGATGATCATCATCATAAACGCTAAGCGCTTTGCGGCTCCATTTGACTTCCTTTCAATCACCAACAAATCGCAACATTCGTGTAAAAAAAGAATATATTTTTTTGTGTGCAGAAATTATGATTGTCACTTGATATTAAGGAACCAGCTGAGTATAAGTAGCGGGCGTTTATATTTGAAAGCTGTAGACAACAAGGAAAAAAGGATGCCTGCTGGGAATAGGCTGGTAAAATAATCCTTGAACGTGCGTTCTTGGATTTTAATTATGCCATCTGTAGTGATCATAGAATTTGAATTTCGCCTTGTTTTTGATGAGCATCACACAGTGGGTTATAACTCTTTGTTGGAGCTATTCGTTAGCTCTTGAGGACAAAGATAATTGTGTTCAAAGTGCGTCAATTGATTTTTTAATTAAAAAGTCTAACCTAAATTTCATTATTTTCTGTTTTTAAAAACCAGTTTGAGAAACTGCCTCACCGAACTTAAGGAACAGGCAGACAGTGATGGCGGCTTTATTGGCAGAACATTCGAACAGCTCAGGGAGTTATACGCCACGAAATATCCCCAATATTTTGAACAGGAAGATCTGGATTTTGAGGCACCCGTCAAAGGACATGGACTCACTGAAGAGGACGAAAAGTCCAGAAGACTGCAAGTTTTGAAAGACTTCCTCGCAGGGAATTCTAAAACTATTGTTTGAGGTTAAACTGAGTGTCTGAGGGGGAGAACTGTGTATTCTTTACCTCTCAAAAGTAATTCCTATATAAATGTAAATTCGTCCAAATGTGCTTTGAAATTTTTAATCACATCGTGACATGTTACCAGGGCAACTGTATGTACTCCACTAAACTTTGAAAAAAATGCTCATGGGTGGCATTTGAAAGATAGCAGTTGCTGATACAGAATCTTTTGAAGAGATTTTCGAACAAACTGGGTTGGGACAACATCAATCTCCCCAGCTGATAAATCTTCCCAATTTAGATACTCTGAGAAAGTATAAACATTGTTTCACGCCTACAGCCTATACCCTGGTTGAAAAGTTTGAAAATCTAAAAACCAGAACTATCCGTTGTGAGCCATACTGAATATACCGGTCTGACATTCGTAAGTATGGAGGAGAGTGGGAAGTGAAGTTAACTTTGACTCGCTATGAGCTCGCACACCTTTATATTTTCAACGACATTTTTCTTTTCAAGAACGTTTGGCTATTGGCAGGTGTTTCAATAGCAGAGGGCGAAAAACGTATGAAAACAAATAAAACTTTACAAACTATCAAAAAGACAAGAGCTTTTTGCGACAGTTGACAATGACAACAAATGGTCATTTGTTTCCACTGAATCTTTTTGTAGTGCAGTGTATTAGTTGCATTACGCGCATGATAACTTGTGCTTCTCTGAAAAATCTCTCCAATCTTTATTCCATCCACTGACACGGTATTTGAATAAGTTTTTGGATAAAAGTATTAATTAAACAGAACGTTTGAAGTCTTTCTTATTATTCCTTTGATAGTTCACGCTTGATAGTGGATGTAATTGATTCGTTAATTAAGAGTACTTTGTTTTTTTTTTTTTTTAATTTTTTTTATCAAAGTCAGTGTACAGTAATTGAAAAAAAACGCTGTTCTTCTTTTTTTTCCTTTTTCTTATTCTGATTGGTTTGCTACCAAGTTGTTTTCTTTTGATTTGATTAATAACCTGAATCCCTTCAATCGTTCAGACATTCCCAACACTAGTTTGCAAACCAAAGTAAATTTCACGGTCACAACTTCTATTAACAACTCATGTGCCTTTAAAAATTCCTATAAACTCTCGCCGAAATTCCCGATTCCCCAACCCGTATACGAATGGGTTGATTACAGTGGAAGTCATTGCCAAAAAGGTGTACAATTCGTAAGCAAATGCAGGTAAATTCGCTACTGATGAGTGCGACAAAATCCCAATAATTATGACAGGTATCCAGCATACGAAAAACCCCAAGATCACTAAAAACAGTAACCGCGTAACACGTATTTCCCATGCATTCATGGCTGCCAAAGGCTGGTTTCGCCACGCTTGGAATGAGGGCGTTATATTTGCGTTATGCGTTCGTATTGTCTTGAATACACTCACGTAGCAAGCCACGATGACAACAAGAGGAATAAAGACATGAACCAAGTGCAATAGCACACCGATGATTAATCGGTGCTTTTTGCTGGCGAATGTTCCAATGCAGAAGAAAAATCGCGAATCGTATTGATATATCACTGGTCCAACGAAGGTCGATAAGAAACCATCACAAAGCGTAAATACCCATACAGACATGATCAGGAAGAGGCTTGACTTCACCGAAAAGTAGTTGCGATATATTTGCGTTTTGACCACACGGAAATAGCGATTCACTGCAGTTAAAGCAAGGGTTGGAACAGAAATCCCTGCCCAGAAGTAAATGAGAAAACCAGTGAACTGGCACAAGATATGGCCGTGAGCCCACGCATTTTCGAAAAACGCCTGGATACAGAGAGGGAAACAGCATATCGCTACAGTCAAATCCGAGACTGCTAAAGCAAACACGTATAAATATGGAACGCGAAGCGTCTTTCGCTTTCTAAAGACAACCCAGCAGACGATGATATTTCCAGAGATTGCGAGGAAGTCTATGGAAACCAGAAAAAATCCCTGTATGGATTTATGAGTTGTACTTCTGGAATATACTTCCATTAAGGATTTCGCCCTTGGCCTCTTTTGATAATTTGATTTTACTCCGCGAGTGAGCAAAGAGAGTCTCTTCAACAGATATCAGTTCTTGTATATATTAACCAAAGTTCTCGACTAATTTAGAACAGTAAGTAAAGCCAGATGACTCATGAATTCTATTTCCTACCCAAGGTGCCTGTGCTTTTAAAGTAATTCCTCGTTCAACTGTTTCACGGTTTCTGATTTACAGAGCAAGGGACATCAATTCGCTCCAATGTTTAACCTCTACTGTCTCGTTTTACCTCTGTTTGAAATGCTCTCCAAGGTAAATTGTAGCGTTTCTTTGCCCTACGAGCACCTGCATGTCAAATTTAGAAATTTTACTCCACATCGCTTGATCACCAGCTGCCAAAAGCACCCAATTAGCTGGAAGGAAAGTTGCTAACGTATGCATGAATATATGAACTTAGTTTTTGATTGAACTTGGCTTGTTTTGATCTCCTGTCGCTATGGACCGGCTGGCGATATAAAAAGAATTAATGAACCATGGTCAACCTTTCGTTTAAAAGTAAATTTGTGATTTCCTCGCATTTTAATGCGGATACAGTCCTTTATTTCTCCTCGCGGGTTGATATTATTTTCGAAATCATCGGGGGTTTGTTTGGAAAGTGCTTTGCATGAATTAAGTAAATAGGTTTTGGCATTTCTTTTGGACGTATTGACAATTGTTTCGTGACTGATTTTTAAACTGTTTTTTGACGTTTGCGTCAAAAAAATTATGGATCACATCATTTTTTTCGGCCACCTATATAAACAGATAGTCAGCAATCTTACAGAAAAGGATGTGAACTGCGAATAAATCATAACCACAGTAACCTAACGTTATGATAATAAAAAATAACTGTCTTGGGATTCTTGTTGTTCAACAAGTATTAAACGTGAGTATACAAAATTATAACATAGCTAGCAGAGCCACGCAATCAAATTCAGTAAACGTAAGCGTGCTCAAAATCCTGACAGTGCACGCTGATAGCGTGAGCAAATCGCTTCGCCAGAAACTTCGCGCGAGTGGCCATTGTTAGCGCAGGGAAAAATAATATATTTCGCGACAATAATGGATACAAACAGACTCGGCCCACCAGTCCCAAAACGAAGACAATTTTCCGACCTTTTCCCTTGGGCTAGAGTTCTTAAATGAGGCAGAAAAAGAGAAAAATAACGGAAAAGGAGACTCGGCATCAGCGCCGTCACGATTCCCTTCACTGTCCTAGGGTGAAATGCAACAAATTTTGACAGATAGACACTCTGGTTGTCTGTTTTTCGCGTCGGATTTGATGCGCAATTCCACCGGCTATGCTATAAAACAATTGGTTCATGCTTTTAGCTGTGCACTATCGAGTTATGGAGCACGTGGGAAGTTTGGAGAGCACTCAAGAAGCCAGAGATACCCTCGGCTATTGCCTCGGGCAACTCCTACGCTTCTTTCGTGCTCTCCAAACTTCCCACGTGCTCCATAACTTGATAGTGCACGCTAAAGCATGAATCAATTGTTAAGTAGAATAACTAAAGAGGAAAGTTTCTGAAGAAACTGTGATGCTCCGTCTGTGGGAGAGTATAACAGGATAATTTTAATTCAGTTGTATAATTATCAACGAACTGACAACGTAAACTGGCCACCTGCACCATAAAGAGTTTCAAAGCAGAAGTTTCGAGCGTTAACCCCTCGTCAGAGCGAAAGTATCACGATCTTCTAATATCTCTGCCAAGAAGAGAGACGCCATTTGTTCATTGCAATCGATGTTACCATATGAAACGCGCGGGTATTTTGTTCCACAACTTAGTACGGTCGCCAAATTAAGTTCGTTCAGTGTTATTTTAGCAAAATAGCGTGATAGTGGACTAATGAATGCAGCACCGGCGTCTCAGAATCGCAATTTTTTATAGACACAAAAAATCAACGCATATCTCTTTTAGAAAAGATATTTAGATTATGACTGAGAAAATGGGCCACTGCATAGTAAAGTCGATACTCAGCCTGGTTGTCAAGAACTAATTAGAAAGAGGCAACGAAGCAAAAGTAGAGTCATACTGCTTTATTTCATCATTTTTATGTGAGTTTTAAGGAACAAAAAACAATCGAAAAAACAATTATAAATCGATACAAGGCATAATCTGGAAACTAGGAATGAATGCCACGAGAGGTACTTTTGAAGCAATGTCAGCTAAATTCTGCCCGCACTGTTAAGCAACGGAGGCTGTTTTATAAAATAGTTTGAGCAATAAAAGGAACAAAGTTCATAAGGAACTTCTTATCGAAAACGTTACACCTTTACGAGCACTACTGAATTGAGTTTAAGAACTTATTACTGAGCCAAACCCTATATGAAGGTTCATCCTCGCCTATGCTTTTGGGTTTCACGTTGAAACGCCGTTCACCCGAGAAAGGTTTCAAACACCTGGTGTTGAACCGCTAAAACTGGCAATTCTTAAAATGTGCTTCATGGGCTTATTATGAAGTCCCATTAAAAAAGTTTGCGTTACGCTACTAAATTCAGATGATAAATATGAAGGTTTTGCCGTTTATTACTTAAATAATCCCATGTTTCCGCCAATGAATGCGGGTAAATGAAGGTGCTCCTTTCCCTGGAAGAGCTCGTCAGGTCTACGTCACCAAAGACAGTATTTACCACACAGCGCATTTCTTCTCAGGATTCATTTGAGATCCTGTAGGACACTTGTAAGCCTTGGCGAATTCGTCAAAGTTCGATAGAGAACCAATCACCCTGAAAAGAAAGTATATCAAGAGATGAAAGTGTACTAATGATATTACTACATACCCATGGCCATCATCACGCGTTTTCGTCGCCCACTCAAGACAAAAATGGAAAACGCGACAACTTTGACTTCCTCCTGCTGAAACTATTATTACGCATACTCCTAACCTATTCTGTGTTTGCAACAGGCGCATAGAAAAGGTCAGAGCACAAAAATAATAACGGCCTCGTTACAAAGCGGTCAGGGAGAGCGTCTTACCCCACTGCTAGGAACAAATTCTTTCTTGATGCATAATATTTTAAAATGGCATGCTTCAAAATCGCAAGATGACCGAGTTCAAACTTATAATCATAATAGTAATGAATGAAAGAGACGAAGGGAAAGCGGTTAGAATAAAAAAAGAGGCGCGAGTCTACTCTTCCTTTTTCCTCCCATCAACCACTGCGTACTTACTTAGAAAAAACTATATAGGCGCTGAGGCCCTTTGAGCTGGGGGAGACCTAAAACATCTGTTGTGACGTCTCGTTGGACGCACGCGACGCAAGTTATAGACGCTATTGTTGTTTCGTGCGACTCATCTATTGCTTAATATTCTAAATGTGTCTCTGCAGACGTTACCAGCCGAACCTGAATTTTGCAGGACTATAACGACTGAACTTCACCGATTGTTCAATTGCCGATGGGCGGTCTTTTCTGCACCAAATCTGAAAAGGTACAAAAGCAGGGAATTTTAGCAAACGTCAAAAGTTGATTTTTCCATCCTCCAGAGTTATTTTGTTATTTCTCGAATTATTTCAGTTGCCTTCTCTGCTTGTTTTCTTTCATTGTTGAAATTAAACACTGGCTTCTACAGTAAAAATAAGCAAAGACCTCATTTTTTAAAATTATTGCTTTCTGAAATTTTTTTTCGTCAATTTCCCTTGATTATTTATTTTATTTGTTTTGTTTGTTTGTTTTTCTTTTGCAAATTCTTTATTTTATTTCTGAAAAAAGACCGACAAACCTGAGCAAATCCAAGGAAAAATATTTGTTCATTAGTAAAGTCTTTCATCCCGGGTAGGTTAGGCTCTGGACGACCCCGCCTTTTCTTCCAGTTCTGATAGGCCTGCGTTAAAAGAATTGCATTTCATTCAATTGAATTATGAATAAATTTATACGTTTTTGGATTTCCTATAATTCTGACTGACCAGGATGAAAATGAGTACCATTGATTAATCAGTTGATAAAGGAATATTTATTGTTGAAATGTTTAGTAGAATTGATATAGGGAAGAGGCCTTTATACACGAAGTATTATGGAACACGAACAAAGCTTTTGGTGAAGGTAAATTGTGACTTTTGTTTGAAAATGTGTTCAGTAAATGTTCCTCGAAGCGAAGTAAAATTTTTTGGCAGAAAAACTGCGAATAAGAGGGTAGATTTGTTGATTAGGCAAGATAAGTCTTCGTTGTCCGCATTATAGCAGGTTGAATAATAGGCTACACGTATTGCTGTGCTTTCTCCAGCGATCAAGAGATTTGTCCATAATAAGGAAGTGTTCGTATCAAGAAGGTGTCTGAAAAGCGTGATTCTGTAATAACCTCTACCTCTCCCCCTCCCCACCCCCTCGAAAAAAAACGAAAGAAAACACAGAAATAGATGCTAAAACCAACTTAAGCGAAATCCCACCTGAAACGCTTGTTTGATCCCGGCGTTATCTGCGATATTTTCCCCGAGAGTTTGGTCGCCTTTTAGCTGTAAAAGGAGCGTCAAGTACTTATTTCGATTTCCAATGGCAAAACCAGAAGTTACGTGGAGCGTTGAAGTGGCTCACAACGCGAAAATACGCAAGAAAAAATAAGATAGAAAAAGGAACAGTAAAAGCAGTAAAAAACCACCACTAGATATCACGATCCACCACTGGATGAAGACCACGGCGGGTAATTGTGTAATTCATTGCTTACTCTACACAAAGCATTATCGATCGTAATCTGGTACAATTTGACACGATCATATCAGGGCTGGCTATCAACCTCAATGATCCTTAATGCACTCGGGAAACCAGAGAGAACAATCTCATTTGTTTGTGTGCAAGTTATAGTAGTCGGCATCTTTTTATTTTTAAAGTTAAGTTATGGTGCAATAGAGCACTTATGAGTAAGAAGGAATCTTATTGTTCGATGACAACATACTTACGTTCATTGAATGAAACTTATAATTGGAATATTGGTCCTCAAGACACTTTGTTTTGTTTTTGAAAGCTGCTATAGATCTGTTTGTCCACCAGTTCGCCAAGTTGCCATCTAAGTTAAAGAGCCGACCTACAAAAGGAATTGCAGCGAGAACTGAATCAAAAGCACTTCCAGTTCTCTAAAATAACACATCTAGGATTTAAATCCAGCATCGTCAAATTTCACATAAAAATGCTACAATTATACAGAATCAGGAATTTATCAGCTAAAGTGTGTGCCTTTTTGTCTCATTTTTACAGAAAGGTTGTTTTATATACTAATTAAGCAAAATAAGTATCCTTACCAGTGTTGTCAAAACCGTGAGTTATTTCGTGTCCAACTACCACCCCGATTCCTGCGTAGTTAAGAGCTCTAAATGAAATATAAAATTCAACTCAAAATCAAAGGAAAAGATGTACATACGGGCAGTCGAATTGGCAGGCTTGAAGGTGGAAAGATGCTGCTTCTTTCACAAGTTAATTCGCCGCTTAAAATTTTAGCACTTACTTGGGGAATCTGTGATCATAAAATGGTTTCTGCAGGATTCCAGCAGGGAAAACTAAATAAAAAAGGAGAAAGCAAATGTTATAGATAACGGAAAGTGACATAAATGGACAAATAACCCGCAAACAAATCGAGAGTCGGATATGAACACTTAGATACAAGAACAAAGAAACTTCGTATCTATTTCAAACTCGCAGAACATCCAAGCCAAAGTCCTTCAATCGTTTTAATTTAAAATTACAATTAAAGCTTCTTGAGTCTAAACCTTCTTCGACAAACAGACTGCCTCGGAAGTACTAAGAACTAGCAACAAAATTACATATGATGATTGGCTTACACCTTCCACGTGACTTCCTAAAATTGCGCGGGAAAATGCAACGCGGCTTGCCCCATACAGTTAAGTTGCCTTTTTCGAATTTCCTGTTTAAGGACATTTTACTGCTCAAAGTAGATCATACAAATGCAGCGACTCCAGAGTACGTGAGCTTTTAACCCCACAGCAGTTCAAAACGCGCTTATTGGTCATCCTCAGTCTTTTTTTCATAACAATTGTTTACAAAGACGAGACTAGCATGAGTAAGGAATGCTCGTTTCGATGCTACATCAAATTTCTGAATGAATTGTAGAATAGCTGTTTTCTTTGACAAGCCTCCGTTTTATAAAGAGTTTCTCTAATACGTGTATGCGAAACTGGTAGTATAACGAGCAAAAGCCTTGATATAGAGAAAGCTTAAAACGTACGAATCGAGCGCACAGGGATTTGAAAGCATGGTCTAATGACCTCTTTGTGCGTTAGAAGTCAGTAAAATGGCAGTAGTTGTTTTCCTTCCCCCATAAAATTCTCCAACATTGGGTAAACAGAATGTAACAGTAATCAAATGTCCAAACAACAAAAACAGCAACAAGAACAACATGATTGCTCACCTATTTTATTATGAGTGGGTGAATAGTAGGCGTTGACAACAGAAGGAAGCATGGCCCAGCTGCCGTGAAATATATATATATATATATAATTATAAATCATGTTATTATTATACATTAGATTTACCATAAGACTCGATTGGTCGAGAGCATACAGTCAATATAACATAGCGTGTGAAGTTGACACGATAACCCAACATCTGCAGCAGATATTGGGTTACCATCGAGTTCGTCTGCCTAGTTTCCAAGCCCCTCGTTCATGTAATGTTTCAAAATTTCGCAAACTCAGTGTCTTCTTTTGCAGATGGTATAAAATATGTATAATAAAACAATTATTAGTCGAATTTAAGAGATCCTCGCAGCTAAGAACACTACTGAACTAGTAGCTGAAAATAGGACCTGAAAACAATTCAGGCCCGCACGTTATCGCATGTTACGTGAACTATCAAACCTCGTGTCCTTGTTGAGAATTCCTAATATCGTGCGTAAACCGAATTCAGTAATTGTTTTATTTTACATTTTTTGAAAAATCTGCAAAAGAGACGCTGAGTTTGCAAAATTAACCCAGACCTCGGCATAATTCATAATATTATGTTCAACCCCATCCAGTAATTGCTTATTGTCATGTGACCCTTGCGTTCCCACGCTTTTAGCACAAACACAAAAAAAAACAGACTCGGAATTGACCTGGAGCCCCTCTGGCCGTTCTGCTCCGTCAGTAAGTATGTAATATGATATGGTTTAACATGAATAGAACAGACAATAATCAATAAATAAAATAGCAGTTAATCAAATAATTGAAAAATCAATCGACCAGCAGTGATTGTAATGACTGTTAGTCATTTAAAAATATTGAAAAATGAATAGTTCCGCCATTTGGAAAAAATTAAGTTTCAAGAAATGAACCACATTGCTTTTACTTAGATATTCTGCGATTTTTCCAATTTGTTATTAATCCTGATCTTATTTCATGTACCTTTATACCGAGCAGTGTTTGGTTTGTTTTGTAATTAAGCCAGTCAATGAGAGAGTAGGAGGCAGAGAGTTAAAATGATAAACATTGATAATATCAAATGAATATTTTACTATTATTTGAAAGTACTGAGATTAAAGTATCGCTGAATTTCACTTACATAATAAAAAATTATTTTATTTTCATTCCCATCCTTACCTATCTTTATCAACTGGCTTTCCCAGGTTGGCGTAGTTTTTCAGGTTATAAAATTTAGTCCCTTGTACAATGTTCTTGAAGTATTGGTCCTTCTTCACATCAAACTGTAATTTGGACGAACCAAAGAGAATGGAAAAAGATTAGCAGTGGTACCTGCCACCTAATGCGTACAAGCGTATGGTTTACAACGCGACCGTTCCATTCTGTTCGTTTAGAGATCACAGACTCCTGCTGATTCCTCGCTTTGAACGAACACCGTACAAATAATCGGTTTTAGTTTGGAGAAATGAAAAAAACATGAAAACTTGAAAAAATGGTGTTATAACCCTCCAAGATCAATCTGAGAGGGAACAGAGGCTGGCATGATCAACCTACCCCTTTGAACTTCAAGGCCAGCGCCGTTTTGTTCTTTATGTATTCAGGATAGCCAATATTTTCCCGTACTGCTAAAGCCTGTTGAGAGATTAAAAGGTTCTTAAAATGTGCTATGTACTATCACAAAAAATATTTGCGTTTGCGTTTGCGTTTGCGTTTGCGTTTGCGTTTGCGTTTGCGTTTGCGTTTGTGTTACCCCGGTTCACACCTGTGGGAATTGAACGCAAACGCAAATGCAAGCTCACGAAAATAAAAAAATGTTTTAATTCTTTGCGTTGAACTGAGCTTGCGTTTGCATTTCCTTGGGGGTGGTTCATTAGTGTAAATCCTCTCATTTGCGTTTGCATTTGCATCGCACGTGTGACTCCCATGCTTAAAAAAAAAGAAGACCTGTGTCATTGCCATGTCTGATGGCAAGTTCCTGCCCGAATGGCTGTTATCAAGTCCCAAATAAGCTGTTAAGGCGATCAACGAAAACAGCTTTGATAATAAACAATCTTAGTCAGTGACTAAAATTGCAAACCTTTTTTTTTGCTTTACGTTTGGTTTCTTCATCCATCCAGTCAAGATTTTCTAAATCGGTAAGAAAAACCTCCCTTATACCATGAACCATTTCCTCGGCCTACAATACAAAGACAGGGGACATTTGTGAGGATCACGAGGAAATCTAGTTCTAGAGTTGAAAGATACAAAGGCATGTCAGAAGTCTTTCGCGCTGTCCCATACACTCATTTTAATGAACTTAAAAGTTCCCGAGTGTACTTAACAATTCTTCCATGAGCGCGTGTTGGATATGGGATGGTAAATAGCCAAAGAGGCGCGTGGCGTCGAATTGGTTAAAACCAAGTTTGTATCCAACAAGGGAGAATGGAATAAGTATTTTATTAAATTTTATTAAATTCTGCACTTGTTGATACTTGGAAACCTTTCTCAGCTCCGCAACAGGTGGTGCAATGAATTTCCATCTAAAGTGACTCGATTGTTTCACTCGATGATCGGAGTCGCGTAAAACAATCGGAACACTAGAAATGATATATTCGGAGTCGAAAATTTAATAATTGTCCTTAAAGGTTCCTAAAATGATACCGCCGGCCTAATATTTTAGATCAAGAGAGAAGTTGTATATTCTGAGTCTCAGATCGAATAGGATTCTACAAATCAGTTCAAGCCATTAAGTTTTAAGAGCCACATTTCGCATACATATATAAAAGAAGTCATTTGACTAACCCTATAAAAAGATCATCATCTTTCTTTTGACAAATTGCTGAAGGTTTAGCAGTAAATCAATTTCCACTTTTCCTTACCGATTTTTTACTCTCTCCCTCAAATGTCTCGTCAACATACAGTAGACTGAATGGCATGCCCAAATAAAGGTTTGAAATACTAAGACATTCCTGCCATCGAGGATCGTCGTCTGTGGTTCCCATGATACTTTTCCTGTATTCTTGGAAAACGTCTCTGAATCTTGAGTCCAAATCACTTGAGAAATATCGCACCACTTGCCACATCATGTAGTTTGCTATCACTCTGAAAAATACAGTGTGACAAAGGATCAATTATGATGCACCTCTTGTGGCTGGTTTTCACTTCCGTCGAAGTCGGAATAGTTATCAGAAGAGCAGAACAATAAAAAAGCAGAGTACAGATGCCACATGTGACTCAATCGCCTGTGATCAATTAAAATCAGATTGTTGGAGTTTTAATGGAGAAGATTGAAACGTGGCTTAGTTACCTTTTGCTAGTTGCTTTAACAATGTCTGACATATTCTTAAAGTACTCAAGATCGGACCCCACGACCATTTCATCTCCCGTGATAGTGTAACCCGTCTCATTGAACATTCTCCTGACAAGATCCATCATGTCAATCTGTAATGCAATAAAGATATCACGTTTAACGGTTTCCAAACGCCTTGTCTCTTTTTTTGAAATATTTGTTTCTTTTGTATCATAAAAAAGGAAGAGACCCCAAAATAGAATTACCTCTTTGCTGGATAATTTATGGATATCATTTAGAGAAATTACATGTTAATAACTTCTGGGCACTCAGGTCGCGTTTGCTCCTTCTAGAATTAAAGACTAGAAAGCGTTCTGTATGTTTTTCCTGACCACACAATTGCGCATTTTTTTCAAAGACAGCTCAAAGGTGAGCGTGAAAACGAAGAGAACATTCGAAATTGGTTAAGGACGATAACTCATACGAATTCAACTTCCGGTTCGTCGTGCTCATCTGAAGCGATGTTTCGTGACAGAGGGAGCAGGATCCTTGTACCATTTTAAAAAAATATATCAAAATTGTTTTTTTCTGTTTCGTACTTAAAGTGTGTGGGCGACATTTCTCGGTTGTCTTTGTCCTGACCTACAAATCTTTACATATTACAGAATATGGGTTTCAGTTGATAGCCAGACGGTGTCACCTTCGTATTATTTTTATCTTACCGCGGTTCCAGCTGATTTGTTGAAATCACTCAGCTTCATTTTCTTATAAGACTTGTGTATATCTTGCCTCTTCTCTCTAGCAACAAATGCCTGAAACGAAGTTTAGCTGAAACATCATGAACTTGCAATTGTTCTCAGGTCTACAGCAGACGAGGGGGGGGGGGTTGCGCGAGCGGTTACGAGCGCAAGAAAAACGCGTAAGCACGGGAAAAAGAGCGAAGAGTGAAAGTAAAGTTAGAACCAAAAAAACAATTTTATAAAAAGATGTCGAAAATCACCATGGAAAGCGTTTCAGCGCGACCTACCTTCGCTAACGATTCTTCGAAATTGTAGATTTCTGTCATCAAAGCTTTTGCGTTTGGATTGTCAGTGAGAAGTTTCACAAGATCAATCATGAATTTTTTGTACGCTGCACGGACCTATTAGACGAAGAAAAAGAATCTAATGGGTATGAAGAGCAGTGCAAGACACTTTGGTCAATCTCACATGGGGTAAATTGTCAGAGACGTTAGAACTTATAGACTTGTGGATTAAGTGTGCTTAACTTGTTTTTTGAACCCTGTTTTTATTACGATACCCGTTTGATTTACAGCGAAAAGGGCCCAGTGACAAAACTTGTTACCCTCATGACGCATGTTCGCCAACTTGACAAGAGATTGCACTGACCTTTATATCCCGAGAAGAATTCTTCAGGTAAGACTCTTGAGAAATAGAAATTCCACCCTGGTTAAACTGAAAATGTGCACGTAAAAATAAAATGATGAAGGAATAATTTATCCCAACAATGCTTACGTGAAACACTACAAAGATAAACCAAGAAACACAAGAAAACAAATCAAAACAAAGCACATTTACGAAACATTGACCCTGGTATTTGATGTTGAGAAAAGAAGGGGCATCCTAGACTAAGGCTTTTCCCCTTATTAGAATCAAGAGTATCGGTTGACGAGCCCTATGATTTTGCGTGAGAAATTTTAAGAGGCGTTAGCTAAGCTTGGAATCATAGTTATCCTTACTGACTGAGGGAAAAAACCGAGGGAATGCAACCAATGACATTTCAAACTCTGATGTATAAGGAATTGAGAATATCCTGCGAAGTTTCTCATAGGGATGAGAACTAGTTGGGTAGAAGTTATAAACTTCGAGACTTCCTCTTTGCGTTGACTTGGGTGGAGCTGGTGAGTCTCCAACCCAGTTCAGCGCTAGGAGTGACTGCTTGTGCCAAGAAAGAGATAGATAGGGCTGTTGGATGACAAAAAATGAGCGGTAATCTGTAATATTACTTGTCACTTACATAAATGATATTTTTCGCGGAGTCCTTAAGATCAGCATTAACATACATGGAGAACAAAGGCGCTATCGACAGATACTTTTGAATCTTTACAAAATTATCCATGAAGTTCCAAGAATCCTCCGTCCAGTTTCCATCTGTGACGTTCCATGATCCATACTCCCTGATTAAATCAAAGAGTGGTTCCGCACCCAGTTCTTCGATTTTGTCTTCATCCATGCAAGAATCAAACAGGTCAAACCCTTTCATAACAGCTTCGTTCTAAAAAGTGACAGAAAAAAGCAAAAATAAGGCGGATGGCAAAAGAAACGCATTTTCAAACAGACCAATCGTTTATCGTTAACGTGCTTCAATTTTCCTTGCAGCCACGTAGGCGGGAGTGAAAACAGAGGCTGCGATCTGTATGGTTACTTTGTCCAATGATAGCAATACAGTAGTCAATATTGTAAAAGGGGTTGTGGTAAACATCCGTGAGGAGGCCACATTGTTAAACAAACAATTGTACTTACCTGATTAGTGCTTTAGTAAACCATCTCTGGCCGTGTTCTTTAATTATGAAGGAAAATTAAAACAGAAACTCACATCTTTATATTGAGCTCTTGCACTATCTTCGTCATCGAAGATAAGTCTCTTCATGATGATTTCATTATTTTGGTCAAGGACGCCGAACTGACTCCAGGAAGGCCTGCTATCTGGAATAGAACTCCTTTTGATCCACTTTCCACAAGCGTATTGGTAAAAATCGTCGCATGGGTCTGCACTAGCGTTCATTGCACTTAGAAGATCTAGAAAAACACAAGAATAAATTAGTTAAATGAGAAGCGTTTGTTGATACTGTGAAGTCTAAGAGTGTCGATGTTAAAGATAAATTTTTGTTCTAGAGTTTTGCGGCTTTCCGTACTGCCTAGTTGTAGGCAAAGGCTGCCGTCTGCCACGACCATTCCAGTAAAATGAGGTCAGGTCTAGCTGTAAAATGGCTCAGCGTTGGTTACTCATTGACCATAGTTCCATAATTAATACATTTCTACGAGGATCAGACCAAAGAAGCGTTGACCGGGAAAAAAAACCAAGCTGTTAAACCAATCTAACGAGAAGTATCAAGAATCAATCATACAAACAACACAGAAATTCAATTCAGTGTTAAAAAATTGCGCTGGGTCTTTGTGATTATGAATTCAAACAAATTAAAAAAACTTTGATAATCATACTAATGGTAATGATTGTACTAATAATAATGATAGCGATAAAAATCATAACAACGATAAAAATGATGATGATGATGATGATGATGATGATGATGATGATGATGATGATGATGATGATGAATACAATGGTATTGATGTGAAAGAAGATGGGAACTTTTTTTTGGAAACGAAATATAATGCCTCGATCGAAGTAGCGTTTAAAGAAATTTTTAATACCTCTCATGATTGTTTTAATTCATCATCAACATCCTCGGTACTTTTACTGACAGTTCATAGTAATAATAGTAGAAGCAAAGATAGAGATGGTGTTTTTGGGATTAGAAATGGGATGGATTTTTTGAGATGGTGTACTTTCTTTTCAACCGCAGAAGAAATATTTGTAAACTCGAGATATCTTTTAGCCAATACTCCCAACAATCATGTTTTCATTTAGTTTAAAAAGGAAACAATCCCAGTGTGTTATCAGAACGCAAATCAGAGAGTATAAATTATCATGGTTCTTTCACAATGCCCCCTCTAAGAGTACAATAAACACTCGACCGAAAAATCAAATCCGACTAGTCGTCATTTAGTCTGGAAAGTCGTTGACGCTCACTTACTAGAGGCTGCAAGGATCCATCCAATCGATTCATTTTTCTTATCTTCGCTTTTGCGATCACTCTTCTCTAAAGCCACTTTTGCATACAGTGCAATAAATAAAATGCACTTATTACCATTAATATTAATATTATTATTATCATGTTTATTATCAAAGTTATTATAGTTATTTCACACCTGAATAGTGACCTTTAAAGATGTTATTTTGTTTCTCGAGACAACGAAAACTACGCGCAACTGTCCAAAAATGCCCCTTTAAAGAGGTTTTCAATGGGGTTAACCGATTGCCGTAAAACGGCCAAAAAATTTAGCCGTTAGGCGTGAAAATTGACAAATTTTAACCATTAGTCGTCAAAAAATTTAACCGTAAAAATTATGTCTGGTGGAAACAACGAAAATATGTTACTGTTAGCCGGAAATTGGTTAAAAGTTTAACCGTTAGCCGTAAAAGCCATCACCTCATTGAGACCCTCTTTTAACTGTCTTTTGATAATAGAAGGCGTGAACATTTTACTTACGCATCGAAGTAATTGCTTTTAGGGTCTGTCGCATGAATTTTAAGAAGGTATTTTTTGCCATGATAATAAGCTGCACGATATTGATTTAATTTTGATCATGTCAAACCCTTTTGTTAGAAATGAAGTTGATGATGTTATCAATTGTCTTTGAGAAGTTAATGACACTACGTCAACAGTCTCGGTGGCTATCAAGTAGTCAACGCCTGTAGGCTGTCAAGTTCCTCGGCAGTTAACACACGAATTCATGTACTTTCTTTTCAACCGCAGAAGAAATATTTGTAAACTTGAGATATCTTTATATCCTTTAAAAAGGAAACAATCCCAGTGTGTTATCAAAACGCAAATCAAAGAGTATAAATTATCATGGTTCTTTCACAATGCCCCCTCTAAGAGTACAATAACCACTCGACCGAAAAATCAAATCCGACTAGTCGTCATTTAGTCTGGAAAGTCGTTGACGCTCACTTACCAGAGGCTGCAAGGATCCATCCAATCGATTCATTTTTCTCATCTTCGCTTTTGCGATCACTCTTCTTTAAAGCCACTTTTGCATACAGTGCAATAAATAAAATGCACAATACCAAAAGAAGAAATAATCCAGCGATCATCAACATCTCGCGTTTGGACAATCCAGTCGGGCGATACATAGGCTTCTCGCTTGTGGGCTGTATCTCGACATCGGTTAGGTAACCTGAGGTATGTACCGCTCCAACAAAACCAGGAGATTCATCACCGCGCCGTTTTTCAGTGTTATTCCCGTTTAAAAGGCCTTTCGTGGTCGGATCATTCATCACTCCGATTACTGTCAACAAACTTCAGAGTAGCTTGCAGCGGAGTTCACGATCGAGGTCTGTAAAACCCTAAGGAAATGCAGTAGGCTGGACTCTAAAAAGATGTTTCGAAGGTATAGCAGCCGTTAATCCCATATAAATCGGTCCCAGATACAGACAATTTGTGCCGTCGTTTACATGTAACTCATAGCGTTTATATCTCACGTAGAGATATGTAAATTATTTGACCCCGTGGACGCGGTTCAAAAAACTCAAAGAAAACAAATCACTTTATTTACTCCAAGCCTAGATAACAAAAGAACCTAAAACAGAATGAAAATGCAAATAGTCTGAGCGTGGGAAAGCGATTAAGAACAATAGACAATTTTACTGTGAAAAAACTTTGATTGATGTTCTCCTAAAGCTCTGATAATTCTAACATGTTAATCAAGCTTTTATCAATAGATTTATGATATGTTTCCTAGGTTTTATTGTCTAGTGTAAGAACAATATTTGATCTGAAAATAGCTATGAAGATTTACCTAAGTGACAACTATCTATCGTTAACTTGTTTTTTATTGAATCGCGCACGCATTGCCTCAGAGCTCCTTCACAGTACCAACTATTGTATGGTACATCTATCCATAAGCCTCTTTTGTTTCTTACTAAAAATTTAGTACGTAGGTTCGACTCCGGTTCCCAGAAATTGTGCTTAACCAGGTAACAAACGGACAAACAAACAAACAAACAAGCAAAAAAAGAAACCGTAACAAAACTCCCACAGAAATAAAAAAGTCGAATGAGCCGATTCCTTTTTGACAGAGCTCGCAAAACGAGTCTGTAAAGTATTCAAATATACGTTTTGCAATAGGCGAAATATAAGGATTCCATGGGGATAATCGGTTGCGCTCTCGACCTAAAAGAAAATATGAACTTGTTCAAATGAAAAACAAAATAACCTCGCTTAAATGGTTGTTTCATTGCATTGAGTAAGATTCTTAGGCTCGGCTTTACTTCAGCTGCTTTGCGCAGCCTAAACATGTTTGCGTAATTTACGAAGGCTCATTTGCGCGCTTGGGTTAGTTGTTTATTGATACGACATTCTTCAGTGGGAACTTTAAAGATCGACTAAGGTTCCATCCAACTAATATGTCTTATATACTTTCCTTCTAAAGTCTTTATCTTTTAGGCAGGCTTTATCCTCGCTAGACCGCAAACTGTTTGGTGCGTTTTTACTTATCGTCCACAAAATAGCACTCAGAAAGGCTCTTGAAAACGGGCACTTTCCAATTCTGCTTCAAAAGGGAAGTGTTTTTGTCTATCAGCGTTCTCGGCTATTCGCGTGTTGACCACCCCATTTGTCCCCTCCCCCCCCTGCCCCCTCCCTCCCCACCCCAATTTTTGATGCCTCCCCTCTTCCTTCTGAGATCTCTGTTTATGAGGTTCCTTACTTTCTCAGATTTTTTTGTGTTAAAAGAAACACATTCATTGAGCATTCAGAGTAAGGACACAGCTAAAAAAAATTTTTTTCCCGTTCCCGTTCCCGTCCGATACCTTTATTGTTAGAAGACATTGGTTAACCTTGGGAAATAAAACCGAAATTGAACTCTTATCTTTTTTTTTCCTGTCATTTCTATGGTCTGTTCATAATTAGAATTTGAGCGTCAGATCTTTATCAAGTGATAGTTGATTAACGGGAAACCCGAAGCAACTATCACATATGGAAATCGACAGCGAATAATCTCTGTTTTTTTTAAATATAAATCTGGAAGTCTTTCAAAATTTTAGAACAAGACAGGATCAAGTTTTTCGTTTTATCTTCCTTGCAGCTGCACACCGCTAAGCTTCTCACTGTCTCAGTTCTCACTTGTCAGAGTATAATAAAACGCCACTAGTCAAAATACTGGATATGCATGGGTATCGTACATAAGGGTGAATTCGCAAAACAGGAGTGTTTGTTCGATTTAGAGTAGTTTCACAATTTAGTATATCAAAGGAATCCGCGATCGCCTTGGCTCTGTCTTACTTTATTCTGATATCGGCTCCTAGAACTTGGCCCATCCTCTCGACCGATCAGATGCGACCTGTTCACTCGCGTTTTTCTCGCTTTTCAAGCAGCTTAGTTGTTTTACAGTTGTTTGACAGTAACACAGACGGACGAGCTAATAAATGACCCCGGAAATTCATTATCTTCAAGCTCGTTATGAAATGAAAATGAAGCACGCTACACGTTTTTCAAAAGAACTAGAAAGCAAATGCAAAGAATGACCTTTATTGAAAGCGTTCATATTCTACTAGGCCAGTTAACGAGAACGTAAAACAAATTTATAAAATATAAAAACAATGGCACAGTATTACTATCTAAAGATATCTTACAACACTTCTTGGCAAACAATACCCGTTTTAACTGACCAAGAGTCTATTTTGCGAGATAGAAAGGAAAGAAAGAAGGAAAACCGGGAGGAGAGCTGAGGCTAACGGAGAACTACAACGGTTTTACGAACACAACTGAACTGCAGCCTGGCAGTATTCAATAAAATGAGCCTTGAATTCATATAAACGATTGGTTTGTCTCTTAATCATAAAAATTCGCGCTAAAGCGCGGAAATTGCGATAAAAACTTTTAACGATGAAAATTTAGACGTTTAAACTGAACCGGTGAAACAATGTCTCTATAACTATGCACGTTTCTCGAGCTCTTTATAAAGTCCCTTTTAGAACATATCTACAAACTGACAAGTATAGTGTTGGTTTTGTTTTTCTTTGCGAAAATGATATAGAGATGTTATCTCCTACAATTATCTATCAGCGTTCTTTGACACTTGCTTCCTTTGGAAGATCTCTCTAGCCAAGGTCATTAACAAACTTGTTCACCACACAGCGCATTTTTTCTTAGGATTCATTCGAGATCCTTTAGGACACTTGTAAGCCTTAGCGAATTCGTCAAAGTTCGATAAAGAGCCCAGTACCCTGAAAAGAAAATGTATCAGAAGATTAGAGAGTTTAACTGATATCATTGGTTGATAATCATCATCAGAAAAACGCGTTTTCGTAGGACACTGAAAACGAATTCGAGAATTATGGCAGGTGGGTACTCTAGGGGGGGAGGTTTCTTAAGAAACTGTGGTATCGCGTCGGTGGGGGAGTATAACAGGATAATATGGTACTATCAACTTTGATAGTAAATTGGCCACTGTACAGAGTTTCTAAAGTTGACGTTTCGAGCGTTAGCCCTTTGTCAGCTCGCATTATCTCCCACTTGTTGACCGAGTGGGAGGACCGAACGGAAAAACATTTGGTTGAGGTCCGTGCAAAATGACCAAGAAAAACTCGATATTTTCCCTTTCGGCCCGACCTGACTGAGTTCATAAACAGTGTTTTCAGCTTTATATGACCGTCACTCCATCTTGTTCTTTCTTTCTTCTATTAGCTTGCATCTCGTGAGAACATAAGGCTTATTCTAGTCCTGTGCAGCCTCAAATTGGGATTTTGTCTGATGCTTTTCAATAACAGCGTGCGAGACCGCATTAGTCATTTGATAAATATACTTCTTTGATTTAATTGCTCGATTTCTTGAAAAATTCGCAGATCCCTGTTTACTTAAATTTAAGGAGCACACTTGAGTCGCATAAACCAAGAAATTAAAACACCTTCGCGATCTCGTGCTTATCACGCACATACTAAGTTAAGATTTTTTTGAGCTGAAGTGTCCCTCGCCTCTCCTTGTATTTATTTAATGCGCTTTATATAGTTGCACCTGAATTTTCCAGGGCTATGAACACCATAATCCACCTGGCGCATAGCCGTCTCCGGGCGGTATTTGCTGCACCAGATCTGAATAGGAAAAAAATGCGTAAAAATATAATCATTAAACCAAAAAACTCCCTTGGTAAAATTATTAAAAAAACCTAAAACTTTAGTTGGGCATACACAGTCAGTAGCCTAGATTCGCTTACCAAAACAAAAATTTCGTTTATTTATTGCCGTTTCAATTTCGAAACAAGTTTTACTCTGAGGTTTACAGTATCCATATTTGCCCAAAGTTTCTTTAAAAACATGCGGGAGAGAGATTTTCAAAAGTACCTTTAAAAGCTATTGTTCTTTAACATTCCTTTTGGTTGTTGCTTTTTATTCATTTATTGTTTGATTATGTATATACATTAAAAAAAAAACAAAACAAAACGAAAAATATCATCTACAAACCTGAGCAAACCCAAGGAAAAAGAGCTGTTCATTAGTGATGTCTTTCAAACCGGGGAGAGGGGGCTCTGGGCCTCGCCTTTTCTTCCAGTTCTGATAGGCCTTCGTCCAAAAATTTACAATTATTAACTACTTATTGTTTTAAAGTCAACCGGAAAGTACACAAAAGAAACTTTTTTTCAAGTATGGTGAAAGATCACATAAAGGTGTGACCTTGTTTCTAAGTCGTCAGTCAAATATCAAAGCTGTATTGATCGGGTATTGCTTTCTGATTTCCTTATTCACTGCGAACAATTTTGCCGTTAATTGAGGTAGGCTTACATCAAAAGAAAATAAGGTTAGAGCACATCACTACACGAGTGATATCACGGAAACGAAAGGAGAAACGGTTGGTCAACTTAAGTTCATGGCCATGGTTCAAAACTGATGCTCAACTAACTGGCTGCTACCTGTTCCTGCCACGATTGTCAGGATATAAAATTCATTACTTTTCATCGTTATACTTCGATGCCTTTTGTATTACGAAAAGTCAAAAATAATTAAACAACATAGCACAAAAGACAATGTCCCACCTGAAATGCCTGTTTGATCCCGCCGTTATCTGCGATATTTTCCCCAAGGGTTTGCTGGCCCTTTAGCTGTTAAAAAAAGATTGTTGACAAGAGGTTTGGACTTAATAACGAGAAGCTACTGGTTAGGAAAGCAAGTAACGTGCCATGACCTGGATTTAAACTGCACAGCGGTCAAACGTCTGCGTATAGATGTGCGAACTTCGTAAGACCTGAGAGGAGTGCCTCCAGGTTGTCAAAACCGTGTTGTCTCACAACTTAACAAGGAGAAGTCACTGGGTGGGAAAGCAAGTAAATACTACGCAGCATGACCTTGATTTAAACTACAAACAGTCAAACGTCTGCGCATAGATGCGCGAACTTCGTAAAGCCTGAGAGGTGTTCCTCTAGGCAGTCAGAACTGTGTTGTTTTACAGAAGTTATAAACAACGAGAAAGTCCGTAAGTTACGACGTTTCACAG